TATTCCTTTAAGACAGAGCATCTTTAGATTTAAACTTCAGTAGTAAAATTGGCAATAGAATTGGAAAGTTTGATTCATTTCATGCAATCAGTTCAAACTGTTTCAGTGATTTGATTCAAAACGGATTCAACAATTCATCAGCGCTCAGAATGTTCATGCAAATCACTCACATATTAATGTTTTATTTTAAAATACATGTAGATAAATATTGCTTATTATTACTATGTATTGTTATATTAGGGAAAATAAATAAAAATTAAATATTTATTTTGTGTGTTAATTTTGTGAAGAATACTGTGGAAAATATGCCTACATAATTTTAATTAGATATTCACATATTTTATTTATATGTAGATATATTTACTAGATATTGACTGTTTTAGAATTATTTAAAAAATAATAAGAATAATAATTCAGATAAATCACTATATCAGTACTGATAAAAACTGAAAAAAGTTACCTTTTTTAAGCTATAAATCCCAGCCCTAGTTTGTTGTTTTCTATTTACTTGGGATTTCAAGTAGCTGGGCATTACTGAAAGACCTGGACAGTAACTTAGAGTAATCGTAATGCTGCAAACATAAAGAGCAATAGGGAATCCTGACAGCCTGCAGAAGTTCTTTATGAGAAGATACTTGTGTGTAACTGATGACTGCACACTCTCTCCAGTTTGCCCTCTCCCAAACTCTCCTCCCGTGGGTGATCCGGAGCGTATACTGATGCTTTATACACTATTATGTTGCTATTTCCAATGCATAATCCTATTTAGTAAACGTATATTCAATTAAAAGCGGGCCACGGCCCTAAGGTGATGCTTGGTTCTCTCATATCGCTTTGTCAGTGTCTACAATGAGGCTGACTTTAGACTAGCAGAGTGTGAAATTAAACAGGTGATAAATTCACCACTACGGCCAGACGCAGGGAACACTGTCATTTTTCATTACCTCCAAATAAAAGAGTGAGAGAACACTGCCATTTCTTTCTTATGACTAATGAACATGCGTATTGAAGCCAGGTCTAAACAAACGAATAAACCATCTCTGTGTAAATAAACAGCCCCTTTGGCCCCTCTGAGAAAATGTTTTACTTTGACACTATATTTTGTACCCACGACCGCAAAATCATACCAACCATCACACAAATGGAGTGCGGTGTTTGAAAGCTAAATGTAAGATAGACAAAACAGTTCTGTTTTCGTCACGTTAAAACCCCGTTCACTATTCTTCTACATACAAAGGCGATGTGTTTCAGCCGCTGTGGTGTTGCATCACTAGTCCAGAGAATAAATTGACAAAGCAGGTGTCACTGGCCTCTGCGCAGGATCTATTGACCGGGCCCAGATTCCTGCAGCCTTTAACTGCAACTCCTCCACATATTACAGACCTGGAAAGAAAGGTCTAATGAGACTTTTTTTTTTGTACTGCTGAACAGCGTGCTGGGAATTACATAAGTGAGATATTACATCAAGACTATACAGAGAAGTGGAAAGATACACTACAATTTATTATATATCTACCTTGACTACAGTAGTGACAGTCAGTTGTGAAACTTTTCCAGTATAAAGCTATTTTTCCAATAAATAGTGGTGTAACGTTCAGGGCCGTAGCTAGTGGGGAGAAAGGTGATGATGATTTCAACTGACTGCCCGAAGCCAGCATGAAAAACGCTCAGGACAGTTGACGGGCCACTGCTGAGTGTTGTCACGAAAGCTTATCATTTGCACGTGTTTTTAAGCCTTACCAATTTAAACAATCAAGAGATTTTAAAGCATTCAAGTACAAGAAGAAGTGAAGAACTCAACTGAGAACTCGCATGCTGGTGTTCTGTGTGCACCCAGAGAGCCGCTTCTCAAGACAGCTCAAACACCAAATTGAGTACTCTTTTGTGTCTTCTTGCACTTGAACGAACAAATACACCCCGCAAATTTAAACATTCAAGCGCAAAAAGATGCGACAGAACTTAATTCAGCACCCGCGAGCACACAGAGAACCACGTCTCATGAACACTGAATTGAGTTTTGCGTATTCTTGCACTTGAACGGACAAATACATGCAAAATTATGTTGAAATACCCATCTTGGCCAGTATCCTCGAAAAACTGTTGGTTATGTCTTAAGTGAATGCAAACAGTTGAGAAAAAAAATTTGGATGTGTATATTGGATCCATGCACCTAATTCACCAGCTGCAGTCGGTGTCCTTAATGTTAATGCAAGGAAAAACAGAGACAAAATCACTTACTGTTCTTGACTGAATTACTTTTGTAATTTTAACAAGAATTAATCTATATTTAATTTATACTGTGAAGACTATGCGATGCCATTTTACATTTGATTATTCAGTTTCTGTACCTGAACTTGGTTTCTGTTTATCTACAAATCTGAAAAAAAAAAACTTAAACCATTGTTTAATTTGTATCTTTGTTCTATTTATTTATTTGTGCAATTTACACAATTTCAAACAGGGCCCACAGGTACAACCTGCACCGCGGCCCCAACTACGGCTCTGGTAACGTCAAAGGTAGAACTGAGGAACTTTGTGGATTTTTGGCAGAAAAAAATTTGTTAAACTTTTTTATGACTGTTTATAACTTATTTATTGAATTTATAGAATTTTTTGAATTATTAGTTCATTATTTTATTAGTATTTAGTCGAAATATATCTGTTGATATTACTGTCTATATACTGTACAAAACTGTTCAAAACGTTTGGGGTTGGTAATGTTTTTGAAAGTAGTCTCTAGTCTCTTTGTAAATAACTGTTATCTTTCTTAATATATTTAAAAAATATTGAATATATTTTAATTTATTCTTGTGATGACAAAGCTGAATTTTTAGCAGCCATTATTCCAGCCTGTCACAGAAATCCTTCAGAAATCGTTCTAATATGCTGATTTGGTCCTCAATTTCTTATTAATATCCATGTTGAAAACAGTTGTGCTGCTTAATATTTTTGTACACACC